ATGGGTATTGTTCTTAAGTTCAGATAATCTTTATGTTCATTAATGTGTCCGTTTAAACATATGCATTGTATATCTCTTTACATTTCAACCGATTTATCTTTACAGACCTAAAATAAATATGCGTTGAACATCGTCAACTTCATTATAAACATATACATACAAAATAGCATATCATAAATAAGTCACATGACGTCGCTTATTGTCCATAGACAGCGACATTATTAGCCGCGAAAATGTTAAGATTAAGACTACTTCCTACGTTATTCGAAAACATGTTTAATCCCGCAAATTTCGAAGCGTCAGAATGAAAAATAAAATAAAATTCAATATTTAAAAAAATAAAGATCGCGATACTGAAATAAAACGTTGAGTGGTCTAAGTATGTGCTACCGACTCATTTCGTTTGTATTATCCTTAGTTTTCTTTAGGCTGCTAGGCTGCTAGGCTGCTAGGCTGCCAGGCTGCTAGGCTGCCAGGCTGCTAGACTGCTAACTTCACAAATTTCGAAGAGTGAAAAAAACAAAGTTCAATATTAAAAAAAATAAAGTTCGCGATACTGAAAAAAGACGTGGAATAGTCTAAGTATGTGCTACCGACTCATTTCCGACGGTTTACATGTTTGAATTGTCCTTAGTTTTCTTTAGGCTGCTAGGCTGCCAGGCTGCCAGGCTGCTAGGCTGTTAGGCTGCTAGGCTGCTAGGCTGCTAGGCTGCTAACTTTACAAATTTCGAAGTGTCAAAAAAACAAAAACAAAAACAAACAAAGTTCAATATCTAAAAAAATAAAGTTCGCGATACTGAAAAAAGACGTGGAATAGTCTAAGTATGTGCTACCGACTCATTTCCGACGGTTTACATGTTTGTATTTTCCTTAGTTTTCTTACTTCACAAATTTCGAAGCGTCAAAATAAAAAAAACGAAGTTATATCGCGATACTGAAATAAGACGTGCAATGGTCTAAGTATGTGCTTCCGATTCATATCCGACGATTTCATGTTTGTACTATTCTTAATTTTCTTTAGGCTGCTAGGCTGCCAGGCTGCTAGGCTGCTAGGCTGCCAACTTCAGGCTGCTGGGCTGCTAGGCTGCTAGGCTGCCAACTTCACGAACATTTCCCATTTCCCTTCTATCCAGTATGGCATAAGGATTTTTCAGAAAATCATCATGAATTACTATTCTTGAACAATAGATATTATATTAAATAAAAATTATGTATCAATGTTATCATTTTCGGGCGTTTTCAATCCACCGGGGTTCTACCGGGGGCTCTGCCTGGGTCTACCGGGGCTCTTCTGGCGTCATCCGGGAACGACCGGGGAAGCACCGGCAAGAACCGTAGCTTCACCTGGGCTCTGCCTGGATGATCCGGAGCGCATCCTGGGTGGTTAGTTGGGAACTACCGTAGTGCTGCCGGGGTAAGTGTGACCGCAACAATAATTTTACCCCGGATCGTCCTTGATCATCCCGGTAACTTACCGGGATGGTCCTGGTCTCTGCCGGGAGTAAGTGAGACCGCAGCTTAATGTCATCTTAAACCCCCGGTGGTAACACCTTACACTCAATGTAATACCATCATAAACCACGGTGGTTACAACTAACACTCAATGTTACATCACCATAAACCCCCGGTGGTTACACCTAACATTTAATGTAATACCATCTTCAACCCCCGGTGGTTACACCTTACACTCAATGTAATACCACCATAAACCCCCGGTGGTTACACTTTACACTCAATGTAAAAACCATCATAAATCACGTGGTTACACCTTACTCTCAATGTAATACCATCATAAACCACGGTGGTTACACCTTACACTCATTGTAATATCATCATAAACCCCCGGTGGTTACACCTTACCCTCAATGTAAAACCATCTTAAAGACTTAAACCCCTGGTGGTTACACCTAACATTCAATGTAATACCGTCATAAACCCCCGTTGGTTACACCTTACACTCAATGTAATACCATCATAAACCCCTGATGGTTACACCTTACATTCACTGAAGAAGCATCTTTATCCTCCGGTGGTTACACTTTACACTCGTTATAGTATCATCACAAACCCCCGGTGGTTACACCTTACACTCAATGTAATACCATCATAAACACCCGGTGTTTACACCTTACACTCAATGTAATACCATCATAAACCAACGGTGGTTACACCTTACACTCAATGTAATACCATCATAAACACCCGGTGGTTACACCTTACACTCAATGTAATACCATTATAAACACCCGGTGGTTACACCTTTCACTCAATGTAATACCATCATAAACCAACGGTGGTTACTCCTTACACTCAATGTAATACCATTATACACCCGGTGGTTACACCTTTCACTCAATGTAATACCATCATAAACCAACGGTGGTTACTCCTTACATTCAATGTAATACCATTATACACCCCCTGTGGTTATACCTTACACTCGTTATAGTACCATCATAAACCCCCTGTGGTTACTCCTTACACTCGTTATAGTACCATTATACACCCCCTGTGGTTATACCTTACACTCGTTATAGTACCATCATAAACCCCCTGTGGTTACTCCTTACACTCAATGTAATACCATCATACAACCCCTGTGGTTACACATTACACTAACTGTAGCAGCATCATATACCCCCAGTGGTGACACCTTACAATTTTAAACCCACGGTACCGGTGGTTACACCTTACTATTTTTAACCCACGGTACCGGTGGTTACACTTTATACAAACTGAAGCTTGGACCCTTCAGTAGGATATTTCATTATTTGCATCTTAAATCTATCTTAATTTAAGCCATTTTCAGTTTTTTAACCTATTTTGTGGACTATTCACATTTTAATAACACCTCAAAGTTGTTTTAATAGTACAGTATACTTAAAAGTCTCTTCCCGTGTAACCGTTATCTGTTTTTTCTAAATGAAGCAATTTTGTAATTTCACTGACACGTGAGAAAGTCAGAGATACTGAAATAATCCACCCAAAAGTAACATTTAATTGACAAGGTTAAGTCAATTTAAATACGCAATTATATAGATGAAACACGCGATCTTTCATACTAACATTTCAATACATGTAAAGAAACATTGCATTAATGCTATTCAAACCAGTCCGAAAAGGTTTTCAATGAAAAGTATCGAAGCATTATTAGGTAAAGTAATAGAAATATTTATAAATATAGAAAAACTATTTAAAGTTAACGAGATGATAATATGAAATTAATTTTTAGTTGAAATATTTTCCTTAAGGTTTGAGTAAACCGTAAAATACACTTGAAATAATAAAATTAAAGTTAAGTTAAATTCTATTAAAAGGTTAACATAAAAGATGTGTTTGTAATTTATTCAGTTTTTAAAGTTCGAGACACAATTCATGTATCAAAATGTAAAAATCTACATGCGCTTGTAAAATCAGGCGTTCAACAAAAGGGGGAAAAATCAATGATAAAATAATACCACTATGTTTTGTCATTATTTTAAATAACATTTTGTTCATTTTTTTTTCATTTTTAATCTACAGATTTTAGCCACCATGCTGACCAGTACGAGAAACAACAACAGGAAGGTGATTTCTAGTCCTCTCGACTCGTAAAAAAATCGTTCAAAATAAATAAAAGGAAAAAGAGCAAGAAACGATAAAACGTCAGAAGAACAACAAATTACCTATAAGGGAAGAAGAAAAGCAACAAATAACTAAAATGAAAGAAGGGCATCAAATAACTTAAAGGAAAGAAGAGCAAATAATTACCTAAAAGAAAGAGAAGAAGAGCAAAAAAAAGGAAAGAAGAGCGACAAATAACTAAAAGGTAAGAAAAACAGCAAATAACTAAAAGGAAAGAAACGCAAAAAATTACCTTAAAGAAAAGGAGAAGCTCAAAAATAACTCAATGGAAAGAAGAGCAACAAATAACTAAAAGGGAAGAAGAACAAGAAATAGCTTAAAGGAAAGAAGAACAACAAATAACTTACAACAAATTACGCAAAAAGAAAGAAGAGCAACAAATAAGTAAAAGGAAAGAAGAGTAACAAATTACCTCAAAGCAAATTGCCTAAAAGTAAACAAGCGCCTCAAATAACTACCAGAGCAGAGGAGCAACAAGTAACTTGAATTTTGTGTAAAAGGCAACAAATTACCAAAAAGGAAAGAATAGCAAGGAAAAAAGAGCAACAAATAAATAAGTAAAGGGAAAGAATAGCAACAAATAACTGAAAGGAAAAAGGAGCAACAAATAACTAAAAGGAAAGAAGAGCAACAAATAACTAAAAGGAAAAAAGAGCAACAAATAACTAAAAGGAGAGAGCAATATATAACTAAAAGGAAAGAAGAGCAACAAATTACCTAAAAGGAAAGAACAATAAATTACCGGAAATAAGTAATAGAAAGAGCACCGAAACACGAGGCTATCTGATTTGTACGAGGGGGCGTAGCCCCCGAGTATTAATCAGATTGCCGAGTGTGTTGGTGTTCTTTCTCTTTTGTATCATAGTCAAACATAAAAGCACGTTCCCTGTTGTCACAATATGAAACCCCGGCAAAAATGAACCAATGAACGAACATCTGAATATGACATTTCTGTCGCTTTCCCTTTCTCTGTCGTCACAATATGTAAACCCCAGCAAAAATGAGCCAATCAATGGGCATGCTCTGGAGTGCGGGTAACTAATACCCGCACTCCAGTTAACGCACTGTGCATGTATATGTATACGATTTAACCCTGACACATTTTCAACAGAAAGGTCTCCAAACTATAATACAAGAAGGGAAACAAAGAACTGCAGCTGTTAGTTTCATAAAATGTTATCAACGTTGAGTATTCGTATTGAAAGTACATACTTGTTCTTCAACCTTGGCCGGGTACATGTCGTTTCTTTAAGTATTTTAAAACCGCTTTCATGTATAACTATAATGCATTACCAATTTAGTTAAGTTTTCACCACAGGTATCCAATAACATTGAAAAAATATCCAGTTATCTTATGAAATCAATATACCAATTTATTACCACTGATATTTCTAACGTGTTGACAAGTTATTCTATACATCAAAATGGTGTGATAACACATAGTATCTTAATATTGTAATATTCATTTTAAAAATGTCAAATTTGGAGGAAAGATTTTCGCCCTCCAAAAGACGGAGTAGGCCTTCGATAAAAAGAAAACAAGAAGTTATATTTCAAAAAGACCCGTCTGAAATATATCCACCAAACAAACAGGTAACACTTTTTATTTCTTTGATATAATTTCATTAAGAGTTTTAGGTTAAACTGATATGATACGAGTATAGTTAACAGATGTATGAAGTATTGTTATAAATGGTATAACTGTCGCCACTAAGAAGCAAAGTATGTAAAGAGATTTTGGAAGCGGCATAGCAATGCCAAATAGACGTTGTATGTTATTATTTTTGTTCTTTGGATACTGCAAAAAGGCTGAAAGTCAGCACTAGAAGGCGATAAATGTCTTACAAAACATAATTGCAGAAGTAGTATTTGAGTTGATTATAAGTATCTTGAATGAATTTTCAATGCTTTGACTATAGCACGTGTAAGTGCACGTGCATACCCAGCGTCTCATGAGATAATGACCTTGTAAAATCCACTTTAGTAAAATACAAATTGTAGATCAAGACTCCCAAAATAACCCTGTTTACCTAAATGTGTTCTGTTTGTAACTACTGGAATAGAAATTTTAACCTGCATTTAACCGGAACACCCTCCCCGGAAAGTGCTGGGGATATATATATGGAAATAAGTCAGGTATTCCTTATGTCTCGAAATTACGGAGTTGATGGGAAGATTGGATTGTCGCCATAAAAATGGCTGACATTTCAGACCTTGTGTGATTGATTTTATCATCTTACTTCTCCAAAAAGACAAACCTTTACCGGGGTTTTCAATTTTTCAGACGACAAAGCCTCCGCTATTCCCCTGGGGACATGGGGTGGGGACTGGAGTTACAATAGGCTGCTACATTACAAAACCTGCGATAATTTTCAGGGAATCTGGGGACTGGAGTTAACAATTGAGTGTTAAATCATTTATCATTGCTATTTATAAATACATGTCTTATATAATGAAATATTTACTTACTTTAATTTCAACGTAAATGCAAATCTGTTTACACAATTTTAAAATATATTATTCCAAGCATGTTTGGATAATTTCAGATTCACCAGTTAACGGATCATGAAATTCAAGGTAAATATCAAATTGTATACTTGCTTTGATAAATAACTGTATGTAATATACGACCTTGAATCACACGGTAAGATTTTGGGCTGGGCTTCAATGAGATAACAGGTGTCAATTTCTGCAATATCTAATCATAAAACCCTGCAAAACAATTGACTCAGATATTTCAAAATAGAAATATTTAAACAGCCGTGCTCGTAAGATAAACAATTAGTTTGAACATTTTTATTTTGGCTCGATAGCAAAACAAGCTCTTGAACTTAAAGAAATCACTTTCGATCACTGGTGTCATATGATGAAACATGGTCGTGACTCGAGTAGGACTCGAACCCAAGATCGATAGCTACACAATGAATTATCTCGTAGATGAATTTATTCACGTTAACATACATTCGCTCCGTTCCTAGATATTTTTCCTAAACGTAGACCATGCATGGTAAACAGATAACTTTCGGTCTACGTTCAGGAAAAAATATCTAGGAACAGCTTGAGGTTTTAAACATTTTTGAGATGATATTTAAATAAAAACATTTAGTAAATCCGCATATCTGATATGTTCACCGTGCGATAGTCCATTTCCGGAAAAGTATGGTGTAGAATTAGCGACACTAAAAGATTAAGCAAGTATCTCGGCATGTAATTTTGATGGGATTGGTACATTTGTTCTTTTATTTTTACATTTTTTTTCGACAAAGAAGAAACCCTGCGTATTTCTCGGAGAAGACATGATATAGATACCGGTAAAGTAAGGAAAATGTGACCATGATACGTTTGTAGCTCATTTGGTAATTGAATGTAGGATATCTTGTAAAGTATTTTTCTGTTAATGCTGGTAAATAAAATTGTTTAAAACAGTTCGTATTCATTTTCAATTCAATTATCTTTAGATTCAGTATTTGACAAAAAATAACTTAACCCACAAGTTCGAGAGTTAAATGATGTACTAAAAACTTAGTAAAAAGTCAAAATGATTATACAAAACAAGAGCTGTCGGTAGGACAGCGTGCTTGACTATTCTCTGTGCTTGATAGTAAAACAAGGATAATGTAAAATTTCCTAAGTTAAAAAAATATTGTCAAAATCTACGTTGGGTTTGAACAGCGACCTCTTATTATGTTCTCAAATAAGTGTGTCAAGTTTCAACCCATTGCCTTCAGTACTTATGGAGATACAAGGATGCAAGCAAACACTTACCTAAGTGTGACACCGACGCTCGATTAGTCGAGCTAATAATTTGTAAAATCTATTATACGTATTTCAGCATATAAAGAAGCATTTTGGAAGTTTGATAAAGATAGCAGTGGTACAATAGATGTTCGGGAACTGAATGACATGTTGAAGAGTATGGGGAGAGAAATACCAATTGGAGATGTTCTTGATATTGTCGCACATTTTGACAAAGATGGTAGGTTTATTCAGATACTTTAAAGTGGCCTGTCTTCAGCTTTTATTTTTTGTTGGAAAAGAATTCTGTGCTGTTTCAAACAAAGTATTTGAGTAATATACTTCACTTATAAGCTTCTTCAAAACAGCGCCCCAAAAGATATTCATAGCTCGCAATGACGTTCCTTTCTAAAAATAGAATATAAAAACGAACCGTCCGCTTTATAAGTTGACATATACATGTAGAGAGAGGAATTATATATTTTATCGACGACAAATTTCATTTTATACATAAATTCTTTTGATTTGACAATAATATGTAACGATTTGCATTCATATAACATATTTAACCTTAAAGAAAGTTGAAGGCCGCTTTAATTCACAACATGCAGAATTTGTATATTCGATTCGTCCGACTTTGAAAATGGGATAGTCAGCTTCAATTTAAATAATATCAAAATACAAAAAACTGAGCTACTAACAGTATAGGGCATGCAACATACAAAGCACAGAAAGGTTTTACACTCGCAGAAATTCCCATATTCTACAACGAGCACGTTTAAGCAGAATTGATGAACCTCTTATGATGTTCTTAATTGTGCTCCATACTTTTTCTTTGGAAACTGCATAAATAGATAAACAAAAAGCAGTTTTGATTCTCATAATGGCTTCGTCAATTATCATTAAATAATCATGTTAATATTGATTTGTTTTGTTATTGTCGACCTTATTAATATGACTTCATGTTTTTTTCTAACAGCCATTGTATATATGTTATATTGGCGATGAATTTTAAATGTTTTTACTGGATGTAATAGTGAATTGAATTGTTTTACCTTTGTCGACCAATGATTTCTAAATTTTCACTTTTCAGAGAGTGGCCAGATAGATTTTCCCGAGTTTCTCACATTGATGGCGAACTTAAAACTAGGACAAGAGGACGGGGAATACCTGGAGGCATTTAACATGATGGACACAGACAACAAAGGCTAGTTCTTATATTATATCATAATTCAGAGTTTATACCAAACCCTTAATCTGCCTATATCAGCTTGTACACCCGTACATTCATTCTACATTCTTACAAATTCAGCTCCATTTGCAACTAGTCATAGCAAGCGATAGGAGTTTAAAATTGCTGTTTTTCTTAACTTTAAGATTAGTTTAATCGGTATTTAACTTTAGTAAGAAAGTTGGTTATTTCCATGTATGTAAGTATACAATTTCCTTTATTTTTCATTCGCTTTTCATATATAAATATATTTAAATATTACATCTCTATTGCAGGTGAGATTGGACATTCAGAACTTAGAGAGTTTCTTGCCAAACTAGATTGTAAAATATCAGATGAGGAGCTAAACTCAATGATTCGTATGGCAGACACTGAAGGAAACGGCAAACTAACATTTAAAGGTACGTTTCCAATTGAAAACTACGGTGGCTTATCTAGGACAGTTCGCTGTCTCGTGCTTGGGCGCAACATGACGATACAATGCCTGGAATGCCATCTTCTAAGTTTCCAATTTAGCTTAAAATTGCTGTGTAGACATAATGTATTTTACATTTCAGAGAAAATTATTTACATTTTGGCATTTTCTTTGACAATAAATAAAAGAGCAGCTGAATTGTTGTTGTGATAAAACAAATTAAAATGTTGTTTAATGAATTGAGCTGTTTAACTAAATGTTATACCTTACTTAGTTATACACATGTATATATGTTTGGTTTAACAAGGTATGTGAGCTTAAAAATCAAATTTTTTCAAGAAGACACATGTTATTACAAAATGAAAATTAAGTTAAAAGTAAACACCGTTTCATCCATTTTTTTTAAAGATATACTATGCTAAAATTTGATATGAGAAAATATTGAAAATTGTTACACAGCCTCTTTGTAAATATAAAATAAATAGATATGTTATGTTTAAAATTATACACACTATAGATAGTCATGAAAAGAATTATATCGCCTTAAAAAACTGGCATTTTTTTAAAGAAAAGACCAGCTTTACTTGACCTCTAAAAGGGAACACAGCTCCCTATGCATAGTTGATTCATTCTTTTAATCAAATTAGACATACGTGTATTTAGTAACAATTTACAGATTTCAATTAATTACAGTGATTAAAATAAATTTTCTCAAGAATGAACATAATATATCTTTAAAGAAAGGATTTAACAATATAGAAATGAATAAATTATACCAACAATGACAAATATTTCAGTAGTTATTTCACATTCAAAAGTAACATTGTTAGAAAACTTAAGACTTATATTACATTATTGTAGTGTATACATGCCTGTCATCTTATTATACATGTAATTTTATTCCATTTTCAGAGTTTGCAGCTATGATGAAAGAAGTATGATAGTAATGGAAAGACAACTGTAGTAAACCTTAAACTACGTTAATAGTCATAGTTAGCTCCCTTTACTCGTAAGCATGTTCAAATTGGATGTCATTTTTCAAGAAAAAAATATCCTATTTCACGTTATTATAATGACGTTGACGTTACACGATGTGACGTCATTAGAATAGCTTACATAATTATATTTTAATCAGATTTGTTACAAGTGCTTTAACATCCCCCCTCATTATTTAGATTGTTTATTTTATCATACATTATCATTTATATTCACTTTTTGAAATGTTGTTTATATTGTTATTTCTGACGAAGACAATAAAGTTGAATGGTTATCTTGTCTTCTTTGTTTTTACTCCTCATCGTTTTCAAGTAATTTCTTATATTTTTACTATAACAATAGTTTAAACACATTTAACAATTTGAATTTGTCTAAAATTTATTAACCACGTGTTTTTATAACCCCAATACATGTACTATTTAAGGTGGTATCTTTTTTGTCCTTTAGTCTTGCATTTTAAAGCTGACAATAACAATGGAAATCCATTTGTATGGAAGCCTTGGAGGGTCACTTTTGAGTTTTGACTTATAAATTTATTTTACTATTTTCTTATGACTTTTGATTTATGACTTTTGATTTATGACTTTTGATTTTTGACTTATGTATTTTGTTATTTCACACGTGCTTTCCATCATAATTATAATTTCCAAGGAAAATATGGTAGAATATGACAACGATTCAGACGAGGTAAGTTTATTTACCTTAGTTTCCTGGAGACGTATTTAAAAAAAAATATGTGGGCTCATATGCAAGAACAGAATGTTATTCTTATATAAGCCTTTTAAATTGATTAAGAAAAGAAAATTCTTTGCTTGCATTGCATTGCATTGGGTATCCATTTTTTATTTTGATTTCCGGAACAGGGATATATAATCTCAAATTGACATACAGCGTATGAATCAAACGCTTTATTTTTTATATGGGTTCCAGTTTTAAATCCAAACCAGTCTCGCATTGTTGTTTGCTGCAGTTACAATCGGTTTTCATCCGTAGTTCATTCTTCGTCCATCTAATATTGAATATAGACCAAATTATAGGCCTTATTTTGACAAAGACTTCACACACTTGTTTAGAACACGCTCTAAGTTAGAAATCTCTTTGCTTGTTTTTTTTTGCATTGCATTGTTATCAAATTATGCCTCTTTTTCGATTTTGAATTCATGGCTTAGAATTTTCATGAAAAATGGTTTCTCAAACACTATTGTAGCGATTCATTTGAAACTTAGAACACATTTAAGTGTTGACATCTTAGATCAATGACCAAGTTTCGTATGAGTGGCGCAAAATTTGATATACTTATGCCCATTTTTAAAGCTAAAATGTTTGTTAGATGTGGTCCCATAAACCAGTTATGATATAATATTGAAACTTAATTCACTTGTTCAGTATCAATAACTTAGGTCACATACCAAGTACAAAATACATGTTATTTGTATATAAACTTTTGATACAGTTATGTATTAAGGGATTTTTTTGTATTTCATTTTGTATATAATTATATGTATTTCATTTCAATTGAGATAACACATACTTTTAATGTTTTCAGTTTAAATTCTAGTAAAGCTACCTGTAGGAATTAAGGACATGCTGTCGAATAGTTTCAACTACAAATCAGTTGCAAGAGCACCAGCAATACATATTTGTCAAGTTTTTGGAGCCAGTTTAGAAGAGTAAGAGATTTCATGGCAAAACAGCGTTCGTTTCGAGTGAGAAGTAGTACATGTCCAAACACTAGTGATTTGGTTTTCTTCGTTATTGTCTATGGAAATATTCAGACATTTTTGGAATAAGAGCGTTACTTTTTCACACTTGTTTCAGACGCTCAATAATTTTCAAGTTTTAACCCCACCGCTTATTGTGGACGCTTTATTGGAAACAAGCAATGTCACGTCCCACCACGTTTATGTTATACTGTCCATACATCCAATATGGTACAAAACTTGTATCGGTATACACGTCATGGTGAGACAGAGAAAGTGTGAAAAATCATGAATTCATAATTCTGGCTTTCAATTTTTTCAGTATTTGTAAATTTTCAAACTTAAAAGAAAGGTATCGAAATCAAACTTTGCATGTCGTGGCAGAAAGAAACATACTTCTGCTATCATACATGTAGCTACATTTTAGAAAATCCCCTTTGTTGTTGATTTGTTGTTGATTTTTTTTTTCATACATAGATTTTGTTAAACTCATAATTATCTCAAATCTGGCATCAACTTGAATTTACTGGCATATATATGTCGGCGAGACAGAGTGCATTGTGTTGTTAACAAAACTTCTGATTATAACATTTAATCGTTCTTCTTAGTTAAACATTCCCTTTTTCGACATGCTGTGGGTTGGGGGTATGCTCATTACGAAAGACTATGATATTTCCATTACATATAAAGTCGGTTATTCTTCGAAAAACAAAACGAACTTATGGACGTTATTTAATATATACATTATACAATGTATAGAGTTTCTTAAAAGTAACTAGGAAATTTTTAGCTAGAGACTGTGTTTGTTTTTATCTCTCTTTTGAACATTTAGAAATGAAGAAATAACGCTTTGACAATGATTTTAAAAATCTTCACTTCAATAATAATACAGTCACTCTAGCGTTGCTAGTTTACCTAATTTATCTTATGTTTTCAAAAGCTTCGTTAGATCACTCATGATTTTCTTAGTTTTTCATCAGTAACGTATCAACGATGTGTTGTTTTGTAGAAATATTGCATGTATATATGTCTTCTGTGACGTAAATACTTGATGTTTTTGTTGATGGCAGTGTTTATTTTTAGCTGTTCCTAAGTGTTAGCTTTTAAGTAAGGCATGTGTGCTATTTTAACAAAAATGCTTACCTCTGTATTTCTTATCTCTGTTTTTAAATTAAATATAATGAAGCTCAAATTCAGTTTGTTTTGCCTATTTAATACATTTATTTTCTTATAAGACAACAATTGTGTTAAACAAAATAAAGCACGGTTGTAGAATAAAAAATGTTTGTTGTTATCTGTTTAAACGCATTTATTCCAAACATTTATTGATAGCTCTGCCAACCTGTCAATTGAAGGACAAGACCGTGAGGTAAAAACCTTTGGTAGTGTGGTCTCTCGGTAGAGGTATATTTAGGTATTCTGTTAAGGGGGCTGGCTGGTTCCACACAGTTTGCTTCTATAGTGATTGCTATTCTATTTCTACTTTGCTCATTTCAACCTCTTACTTAATATTATTTTAATGGAACACTATCTCTACATAGATAAATTAATTCTCTGTAACATTTAAATACTGTTTATTTCGGCTTAGCTGTGTCTAACGTAGCATTTAGAAACGGGAACCAGAACAATAAGAGGCGTCGCCGGTTTTGCATAAATTACGTATTCATCCATCAGTCATATATTTATTTTTTTATTTTCTGAAAATTCTCATATAAGTGTAGTTTAATGAAAATCATTTTACTAAAAACAAAAAGGTATATAATAAAAGTAAAATTATGTTGAAGTAGATTTCTGAGGCTATGCATTTTTCTACTTGCAACGTTGGAAAATTGATCAATATTCCACCGCTGCTTGTAGCAAAATACAAAGCCTTAAAAAGCTACTACTACATAATATTTCGTACATATATCTCCTTTATTTTAATGTATTATAATGCCTAACGCTTGTACCCTCTTTAATAGTCAACACGGAAAATTAGCGTACCAATCAACCGTGACTAACCTCAACAAGGAATTAAATAATCTATTTCAAATTGTAATAAAGCTACACATCTAGAAAATAGCTAAGAACTGTTTAATCTGAATAGAAAATTCTTTATTTATTAATACTTAATGCTGCAGATGACACTTATAAATGAATGTCCCGAATTAAAACTTCTATACATATGATTTCACATAAACAATTGATGTTGATTCTTCACGTAAAAACGATCAACTGTGATAAAAAAAAACATATGAATGCAATAATTCTAATGCAAAAATGAGGCTGGTGGCTAAATGTACTTGTAAACATCATATGACTTCAATACCACTCTCGGCTGATGTGCTCCCTTGCGTTTGGTGATTGTATCACAAATTTGCTTATTTTGCATTCATCTAAAATTAAGTGAAACTAATGTCTATACTAAGGCAAAGAGTAACAGCAAATGGCAAAAGTTATAGGTCAAAAGATAAAAGTCATAAGTAAAAAGTGATAAATTATAAGTGAAAAGTCATAAGGCAAAACCTAAAAAATAAACACGAGAAAATAAGTCAGCATTTATACAAAGATCAATTACTATTTTTGAAATAACAACCATATATATTCCTTTTAAATACCATAATACACCCTATAAAGCATGGTTGCTATTTGTTGCGAATGAATAAAACATTTGCATCTAATTACACATACTTGAAATTACACGTATAACTTATATGTCACGGTACGAATCTATATTCAGTAGATGATGTGCAATCACGGTCGGGACAGAGCTAGCCCTGTAAGGGGTTCCGGGTTCGAATCCCGGTATGGCTGCATATCTTTCTCCCCCCCCCCCTGTGACATTTGGCATAGTGGAAAGTGAACCTGCCAGTCACGCGGGAGAACGAGGTGCTATTCCTAGTCGGGCAGCCGTTTTGTTACCAGGGCTTGATAGAAGAGTTGCAAACCATTATTTGCATAATAAACAAACAACATTTTGCAAAACATGTTTGAAATGAGATTACACGGATATTTTTTTAGACTTTCAATACATGTATTTCTTTTAAAAAACTTTTTAATGTATATGTTCTGACTCATAATAATGCCTACAACTCCAAATCCGTACGTAAATTTTTCTTAAATTTTGCATACAGATGTCCTTTAGGTATACAACTAAACAATGTTGTCAATTTCATTACAGTATGCTTTATAGTGCAAATTAGAGTGGTTATAACTTAAATGATAATTTACAAATATATTGTAATTTGCTCAATATTTACAAGCCAATATCTTAAAACAACCATATAATGAAGTGAAATCGTAGACTATCGTCTTTATGATTTTAAAACAGCATATTTTGAAACTTAACCTATAGTAACCTAGTATATTATCAATAACACGAAAAAAATCAGTATAAGTCGATCCAAAGCGTATTTATATTAAATCTATTCTCAAAATTAAATTTTTCAACTCGGTACACAGCTGTAGTGCTGAATCAGCGTCCAATGGCATCTGTAGATCTAGCTTCAGAAGGGGTGCTAATTCTATGAATTCCTCACATTGTCTTCCTGGGCGTGAAAACATGTTCTTTGCAAATATATACGTCTCTCAAGTTAACTACAT